TTCCTGCACAGGAATCGCTAGTGCGTGGTGGGTCTGATGGCGCAGCATCGTTGGCAAGCAACCAACCAGGAAGAGTAGACGAATGGAATGATGGATAATTTCCCCCTTAATTTTTTTCAGAAAACCTCACTTAGCCTACGCGCACAAATGATGCAGCCACCTAATACTTTCCTGCCGTTTTCCATTTTCACCTCCCACAATTCCTTAACTTGTGTCAAATTTCCCAATCTCAGGAAATGGTTAGGGAGAGTTTAAGTTCCGATTTTGAGAAAGGTCAAATTCCCGCAAAAGATGAACAGACTGTCGAATCGCAAAATCGCTCGAGAATTGGGCCGATGCCACTCATTTGTCGATATGTCAGGAATCCTACAGAGTATGGGACCAAAAGAAGAACGGAACGTTTTTTCTTTACATGCTAAAGGATACAAGCGAAGGATTTCGAGAGAAGCGTCGATGCAACAAAGTCGCGTACGGAAATCGAAGCTCAATGACTCGAAGATTACTGTTTGGAAGGTGATAGAAAAAGTGGGTTTATCGCTGACGGAAAATAAGGAAGGCCTTCTTTACGACGGAAGGCATCGCATAACCGGGTCGCTTTACCAGTTATCGAGTCGTAACGCGCCGTGCTCTCCTGCCTTTTCGGCGTCAGAATCGGCAGCGGAATCTCGTATTCATGCAGGTTAATGTCCCGATTCACGTAAAGCGGAGCAGCCAGGTCTGTTTACTCGGTACCAATTCGACCCTTTGCCCTTACTGACTAACAGCCCTGACTTGAATTCGATGGGAAACGTATTGGGATTCATGATGAGGAAGATTGATGAAGGAAACAAGCAGTTGGAGCTATCAATGAGCCTAAGAAAGCAATTGTCATCGGTTGGGGCACCAAGTTGACTGAGAACTCATAGACAGCTTTTACTTTAACTTAGACGATCGTATTTAGAAGGTCATTCGAAGCAAAAGCACTAGCACTTCCTCGACGAAATTGGGCTACATTGTCTCCGGAAGAGTACAGATTACCCCCAATCAAAATCATCAACATATATCCCTGAATTCCGCGGCTCAAGACGAAATTATGAAGTGAAACAACTACTGGTCCATGGATATCCACGTGAACACCATCACTCCCTACGACATAACAATATCGGAGCAAGAGCAAGAAACGTGGGAAAGATATTGGACTTTAGACGCCGCCGGAACAGAAGAGTTCACGGGATCCCAAGAACGAGTTCGTGACGCGACAGAACGGTCTGGGATAAATTCAATAACTCTATAGAACAACGCGATGACGGGTACTACGTCCGTCTACCGTGGAAAGAAAATTATCCACTTCTCCCGGACAACTACGCTTTGGCGTACCGCTGGCTCGTCAATGTTTGGACATCACTGAAAAAGGACAGCAATCTTCTCGAACAATATCACAACGTCTTCCAAGAACAGCTTAAAAAAGGAATCGTAGAGCCAACAATAACACTGCACCTACTGGGAAAACAATTCACTATTTACCTCATCAGCCGGTATTGACGCCACAGAAAACGACGACAAAATTGAGAATAATCTTTGACGCCTCGGCGCACTATAAGGAATGTCCTTCCCTCAATGATGTCCTACATAGGAGACCTGTCCTACTACCGGCCTTATACGGCCTACTGCTCAGATTTCGGGTCGGAGCAATAGCTCTCATCTCCGATGTTGAGAAAGCTTTCCTGCAAATACGTCTACACGAAACTGACAGAGACGCCACACGCTGTCTGTGGCTCAAGGACTTCAGAAAGCCCCCGGACAAAAGCAATATCCAGATTCTCCGATTTACCCGTGTCATGTTTGGGCTGAAATGCTCCCCATTTCTTCTAGCAGGAACGACACAATACCACCTGAACAAATTCGTGGAGGATGCGCTAGCACAGGAAATTAAGGACAATATTCAAGTCGATAATTTGATCCTGACATCGGATAAACTTCAGGAAGTCTACAAAAAGGCCAAGCAGATCTTCATCGATCTTGGCATGAATCTGCGGGAGTTTACGTCAAACAATAGCACGGTGATGCAAACAATACAAGAGAGAGATAAGGCCGACACTCCACATCCGAAAGTACTCGGACTCCAGTGGAATCCCCAAGCGGATACCCTACTTGCGACATGATCTACTCCGGAGGTTTCAACAGTCACCAAAAGAACAATAACAAGTGCAATAGCGAGCGTCTATGATCCGTTGGGTTGGTTTGTCCCCTCACATACTTCATAAAGCCCGAACATTTCTCCAGTTCCTTTGGGAGGAGAAACACGACTGGGACAGCATACCGGCAAACAAAGCAGTTGAATTGACACAGATTCGAAGCAATATTCAAGGGTTCAGCGAGGAAATACCCCGTTTCCTCGCCTGTAAGAAGAGCACTGTGACACTGGTGACTTTCGCTGATGCAAGTACAGCGGGAATAGCAGCTTGTGCTTACCTCTATCATCCAATAACAACCTCTTCTGTATTGCTCATGGCCAAATCGAAGCTTCCTCCACTACAAGGACAAACAACAATACCAAAACTAGAACTCAACGCATTCACCTTAGCAATGCGTCTCAGCAACTCAATCGTAACGCAGTTTGTTCTCTGACTCTGAAATCACCCTCAATTGGATCAAGAAGGACCCTCAACGTGAAATGGGAGTGTTCATACATAATCGGTTGGAAGATATACGACGAATCGCAAATCACATCATTGACCATGAACGCTTCGTCAGATATGGCTATGTTGCATCCGAGAACAGCCCTGCCGATTGTGGAACAAGAGGTTTGACATCGAAAGAACTCTTTAATCACTTCTGGGGGACTGGACCCTGGTTTTTGCAGAAAGACGAGACGAAATGGCCCGCACAGAGCACAATATTTGAAGCTCCGCAAGACACCAAAGGAGAGGAAATTAGTATCCCTCTCAGGAACCATGACTACCCCATCCTATCTACCACACACGACACATCAATTCACGATGACTCCGAACTAATCCAGCAAGGCCACGTACGAACGCTCACCAAAGCTAAACGGATAGTAGCGTACGCCATACGGTTCACTAGAGTCATCGCTTCTGGCGCTAATAAAAGGAACAATAATAGCAATATATCTTTATCAATGTTCAATAGCGAGATTATCGAAGTTCTGGACCCCTCACCGGCCAAGAAATCAGCTTGCTGGTAAGATGATATATCATACACCATCAAAGAACGAGGATCACCAACTTCCTCAAACAGAAGCTGCAATATCTCAGTATTCGACCAGATGCCAAGGGCATTTTGCGATGCTATGGACGCCTGGGAAAAGCTCAACTACCCATAGGAGCTAAGTATCCCATCTTCGTCTTACAGAAGACATTGCCTGCGGAAATTATCATTCAAGACAATCATGATAAATACCACCCAGGGACAAATCACACAATGTCTCTCGCGCGACAACAATACTGGATCCCTCAGCTTCGTTCTCAAGTATATCGGCTGATAAGAAAATGCCTCCAGTGCCAGAAACTGAACAATTTGCCATATCAATATCCTGCTCAAGTAGACCTCCCGAAGGAAAGAGTAGTTAGATCTTCTCCCTTCGCCCACATCGGACTGGACTACTTTGGTCCGCTAGCGATCAAGCAGCCTTATAGTGACAAAGGAAAGTGCTACTGCCCCATGGTCACGCGTCTACTGCACCTTGACATTGTTACAGATTCATCAACCGTAGCATTTTTGCAAATGTTACGGAGATTTTTCGCTCGACGAGGAGTGCCAAGAACAATAATAAGCGACAACGCTCCCACGTTCCTACATATTGGGCGAAGCAATACTACGAGAAAACCTCCCAACAGCTCCTACGGACCGAACGATAGCGGAAGCATTGAGCAATAGAGAGATTCGCTGGAAGCACATAACGCCGTTCGCTCCTTGGCAAGGAGGTTTTTATGAAAGACTTGTCAAATCCATTGAGCACTCTCTCTATAAAACCCTCCGGGGATCATTAGTGACGATCGAAGAACTTTCAACAATAGTCATTGAAATCGATTCGATGCTCAACACTCGCCCTCTTACCTACATCGACAAGGACATGGACACAACCCAAATCCTGCGCCCAATAGATTCCCTCCAGAAAGATATGGAAATCATATTTCCACCCTTGAGACGAGAAGAAAGATCTGACGAATTTCTTTTTCCTCTTGGTGAAATACCTTCGATACAAACAAGGAATCAAACAATCGCAGCTCATGAAACTTCGTGCAAACTTACAGAGAAGTTCTGGCAAGTCTGGCAAGCTGAATATCTCACGAGTTTGCGAGAAAAACATGACTCGGCGATGGACTATAAAAGGTGCAGCAAGGAACCACGAGAAGGACAACTCGTACAAATCTGCGAAACAACATTTCCACGTCATTCTTGGAAAACGGAAATCGTCGTGAGGCTCGTGGTGAACAATGAATAGGAATAGTACGAGAAGCAGTAATCCGTCTAGCAAATCGCCGCTTGATTCGTCGACCTATTAACCTCCTAGTTCCTCTAGAGTTGGAGAACGAATACCCAGAGCAAGCTTCGAGTGCCGATGGATCCAAAACACAGCCACGATATAATCTGCGCCATCACAGAAAAGTCAATTACGACGAGGACAACAACAACACCCAGAATCAACTATCTTCAAGTACAGTTCACTGCTTCACCATACTGCAAATAGTAGTTTGCATGGCGTTACTGTGCACAAGCGAAGTGATGAGCCTGGAGAACCACACCATTCTCCATCGAGACATCAGACCCTTCGCAACATAGCGTGTCCGAATTCATCGCTACGCTCTACATGGAAAAAATCTCGGCGGATGATTTGGAAATCGACATGACAACATCCCTACACGAGATTAAGCAGCACCTGAAATTGGCCCGAACGCTGGATTCGCAGCTCACTCACCATCTCCTGTCCACGACTGAAAAACCGCTAAGTGAAGGAGAACTCATGCTGTGTGCGAGTCGCCTACTGAGGACTGCAGTATATGCAAAGGAAAAGATGTTGTGGTACACACAGCGCTACATGCTGGGTAAGCTCGATATTCCGCACAGCAACCGAGACCGGTCGTGTTTCAGAAAAAAGAAAAGTGGAATGGTACGAAGATAAGGAGCATGATACCAGTCAACTATCCTCGAAAGTGGCATACGAACTGAAGATATTGGACCGACACATTGCTGACATCGAAGAAGAGATCAACACTGCAGAAAAAAGTGCTTGCAGAAAAAAAAGAAACACTCCAAGCTTCATCAGCATATTCAAAACTGCAATGGAGAAAATTGAAAAAACAGACGTTGTCGCTATAGCCAAGATGGAGGAAGATCAACCTCGGAACAGTCACGACAAAAGACGACGTTCTTCTGAGAATGATTCCAGAGATCCAACTCCGCGCAAAGTTCAACTGCTGTCAGACGATGATTATATGGAAAAACTAATTGAGGAAAACCGCGACGACCACGACGAAGATGACGAACGTAGCCACGCCAAAGAAGAAAGTCGGCGTAGGGAGCGCCAGGAATAAATCGAAGACTTAGAAAACGAGCTGCACCAACTTTATCAGGGACGACCCTACTACCTCAGAGAAAAATCGGAAACGGACCTAAAACTGTCCCTGAGCACATGAAATGTAGCCGACTATGCCTCGGAAAGAACCACGGTCTTGACTATCGCAGAACTGAGGAAAAATTATGCTGGTATTGCGATGTTGTCATGGATACGGCCCTAGACTTCCTGATAAGCAAGAAGAAGCACCATAGAGCTCTTTGTAGAGTACCTGATTCGAAGGATCGAATCACGAAAAAATCAGGGCCATCAAAGTGGAAATCGACCGCGTAAAATACGAACAAGACGCGCCGGTCGAGTGTAGCGAAGTCGCTACCTCATACCTTGACAAGATTTGTTTCTGTTGAAATAATCAGCCTCACAGCCTAACACCGTGTTGGCGTGGACCCTATCGAGCATGGGTGGTCACGGATCGGCCACCCCGATCGCGCGGGAAAAGGGCACTATATAAAACGCCAAGGTGGCCATTCGGACACCTTTCGTCTGCAAGCCGGATTTCAACCGCACATCGGTCTGCCTGATATTTTCTCCTGATATTCCGCAATGTCCAAGTCAAGATTTCCAAACAATATTGAACAATATGATCAATAAGACCTGCGTGGCAACCCTTCACCAACGTTCTCGAATCACCGACATGGGTCTCCTTTGTTCGGTTTAATGACCCAATTCTCACTCTTTTCAATTTTCCCCTTATCTGGACAGTCTCAGAGCCAAAATAAGATGTTTGACCCTAACCGTTATTCTGGCACTTGCTCGCCCCCCCTTCTTGTGGACAGAGGTCAGCTGAGCTAATGTATGCTATGTTGACCTTGCTCTTGCTTTTTTTGGCCCCATTCCTTCGTTGAACCGGGCCATGAATCTATGTATTAGTGTGTTGGGAAGGTTTTGAGAAAATTTTCCCTCTCAACTCGCTCGCGAACGCGCTGAAGAAGGACTTTAGATTCAATAACATGGATAGGGGCATTGTTGATAGATCAGTACTATACTGATGAGTATTCGACGTGGTCGTTTGAAGTAAGCTACGAGGATTGCCTTTTATGTTTCGGGATTGGGCAACCCTAGCGTTGCAATCTGGCAACTGACAGCTCTATCGTAAAGTTTGACATTTTTGAGGTCATACATACTCAGAACGTTTTGACATATGAACGCTCTTTGTGACTGTAACTTAAGAAATTTACCTAGGTCAGACCATCCATTTGGCGCCCCCACCCCCCACCTAGGTCAAACCTCCTTCCCCCCTTAACCTCCCCCCCCCTTTGGCGATGAAGCTCCATCAAGGACCAGTGCTTATCGATGGCATGGTGAATTCATTCGAGGTCGTAGTTCAATCTAAGACGAATTTCGTGGAGGTCTCCAAAATGAGTTGTTGTTCCGGAAAACATTGGCGCTGTGCTAATGTTGCAAGATCGTCACGTGACCTATCGTGAGATTGAGACAACCTTAGCCATTAGTGGGACCAGCATACATTCAATATTGCACAAACATTCGACTGTCGAAAAAATTTTTTCACGTTGGATCCCACAATCGCTCAAAAAAGGCTCGTGTAGACTGGTCGAAAGAAATGCTCAAAAAATCGCGGTGCTTCGAAACACGTCTGTGGCATCGTGACAGGTGATGAGATGATCATGAATTTATGAGTATGAACCCAAAAGTAAACAGCAGACGACCGTATGGGTATTTCGAGATGAGCCAAATCCAACAAAAGCTGTTCGCGCACGAAGCACTTCCTAGGTCGCTGTTTTTTTTTTCGAAAAACTAGACATGTCACAACCGTACCACTAGAACAACCAGAACAGTCAGTGCTGAGTAGTAGACAACCATTTGTTTGCCAGTTGCCTTCCAAAAAAATCAGGAAAACCAACTGCCAAAGACGGACCACTCTTCACCACGGCAGTGCGAGCTCCCATACATCGGCTCAAACAACTGCATTTTTGAGCACTGCACTCAAAACATCGATTTTATGAGTCATCCGCCATATAGTCCCCGAATGACTTCTTTTTATTCCCGTACTCAGAAAATAAAATGAGGGGTCAACGTTTTTCGACACATGAAGAGCGGTTGATTCGTTCAGAATGAATGTTTTGGAGATACCTCAGTCAGAGCGGCAAAAGTGCTCCGACAATTAGTTCAAACGTATGCAGAAGTGTACAGATCTTAATGGGGAATATTTTGAGAAACAATCAAGTGATTTCCAATGATTAATATTCATTTTTGTTCTCTAATCGCGAAATATAAAAGGCAATCTGCGTATTGTAGACGGAAGTATGTGCCACCGATACGACTACAGAAGCCTTCTGCTTCTCCATTACGGAACCGACCACTTCGATACTCAGAATTGGAATGAAATATGGTGACTGACTGGCACCAGTAACCCTATCTTGTCACCTACCATGAATGTCGCGATCGCTTCCTCCGGAAAAAGATTTGCTTCAACGATGTTCGACTCGAACGTCCACTTTCCTCAAATACCGGCTTTGTTCTGGCCTCCCATCGGACGGAGCAATCCTTTCAAGGTGATAGGTTTTGGAGAAGACGATCTCTACTCCCCAACACATCATCCACAACATTCCACGCGAAAGTCATTTTCAAAGCAGGACTCTTTGCAAATATCGCGCATTCTTGACCGAGCAGGAGTTTCGAGTGCGAGTCAGTGTTTGTAAGAAGCCCCTCGATTGTAAGCGAACTCCATCATTCCAGCGAGTGTAAGACATCAACCGACTCCATCATTACTAGGATAAAAAGTATATGTCATATGAAAGTCCACACAGGAAATCGCAATGCTTAACATTGGACTCAAGGCTACGGCCCGCTATAGAGCGAGGCGCTCAGGTCAAGAAAAACGACTCATTCTTCCTCTGCTCAACCGGGTGTTTTACTATGAGACCCTACTAGAGTATACTGCCGTAAACGCAGAAATATTCTGTTACCGACTTAGAGAGATGGTGTTTCGCCCCCATTTCACAACGATTACAGGGTGCTTTTGCGAGTTTTTATGCGGTACGACTCCAAGCAAGGCAAATCGGCTGCTCAAACTCATCATCTGAGGTATTTGGCGAAAAAGCCCTGCCAGACAGCCAGTGTTGACGATGGTTCCAGCCCTTCAAAAATGGTAATAAAAGGTTAGAGGACCAAGAACATCTAAGTCGGTCTCAAGTCGTCGAAAACCAAGTGTCAAAGTCCGTCTTTTGGATTGAATTGGATCCACGCCAAACCACTCGAGAACTGGCAACACATTTTGGCTGCTTAAACTCTACCATCCATGAACATGTGCTGGCAATTGGCAAGACGAACAGGTGCGGAAAATGGGTATAGCACCGTCGCGTCGCTTGTCGGGTCGCGGTTATGGATCGCGAAATCATTTTGGCAAAATTGAGGAATAGGGGCTGGGAATTCCTGCCTCGTCCGCCATACAGGCGACCTGGCACCATCCGATTACCATCCGTTCCGGTCGATGCAGCACTCTCTGGCTGAGAAAAAGTTCAAAAACCGCGAAGAAGTCCAACTCTGGGTGTACAACTACTTTGTGTTGCAGCCGGCCGAGTACTTTAGAAAAGGAATCCATTCTTTGTGTAAACGTTGGCATGAAGTCATTGATAGTAGTGGAGATTATCTTTCAAATTGATCTTGCTTAGTTTCCTTTTAACAATAAAAAATTTTTCAAGCTCAAACGCGCATTTCTTTCCGAACGACCTGATATTAGGTTAGCAGTTGTTTAGGTTTTAATCTCACGACGATAGCGTATAAGTCAAATGACTTATTTTGAATTCTTGTACTGGTACTATTTTGTCCTGTTCAGAAACAACGTTAAAAATGACCTTTTACCCGAAATTAAAAGAAATTTTTTGGTTCTATGGTGGGAACATTAAAAATCATTACTAATGTCAACATACCAAAAAATCAATCAAAAACATCGAGCTCGAGATGAGTTATGAGAAAAAAGGCTTGAGGTGATTTCTTTTTGACCAGTACTGTATATATATATATATATATATATATATATATATATATATA